TGTTATAAAGCTTCAAACAGTATTAGTTTTGTTGTAACAGGAAAATCTTTAGAGCTGTTGAATAATCTAGAGCAGGGGTCACCAACGTCACCTACCCCTGGTAGCCCGCATGGAGTCTCTGAGGCGCCCGCCAAGCACAATCTATAAATAGCCTGAATTAGCGTCGGGCGATAAATGATATCATATCGAGATTATGATCAAATTTATGTTAATAATGATGAAAAGCTCTTGACATTTTTACTCAATATGGATTAATCTAACATCTTATCACACAACAGAGATAAATGTTACAGCAGCCAGTCAGTGCATGTCGCTAATAAGTCTGCATGTTCTGTGTCTCTGGTGAATGCATGGAATAGTTTCGTCTGATACACAAACTCAAACACACGTGACTCGCGGTGTTTTCAGCTTCTGTGTCTAAATATATGAGGACATGAACACATGAACTTCATCTCCAGAGATGCTCGGAGAGTCACTTCACCAGCTTTATGCAGTTTCATTTAAGAAAAATTACAGCCAAATTAGGGCTGGGCGATTTTTCCCGATTTTATCAATTAATTCGAATTTATTGTTTTGCCACGATTTTATTTTTTAGAAATCGAGGAATCGCGATTTTGAATAGAAATATTGCCAAATGTTAGAATTAGACACTTTGACAATATGCCTGGTGATAACAGTAAAGAGAAAAGAATGATCCAACAGCATGTCGGCGCACGTGATTAACCGCTCAGGTGTAACACGCTCTGTGAAGGACCATATATTTAGCGCTAGGCGTCATTTACACAGTGCTTTTGTTTTGACAAAGATGCGACGCGGGCAGGGGAATAGGTAAAACATGCAAGTTATTTATTATTATTAATTTATACAGTTCTGTTGTGCAGCATCTTATCTGATAAAGTGAATATGCAATGGTTTGTTTTAAATTGATTTTCATTTGATTACATTTTAAAAGATTGATTAAATTGTTAAAGTTGTATTAATTCATTTCACTAGAAACCATTTTTTATGATACATTTGTAATGAATCATAAAACACAGAATCCATAATAAATTAAATGGAAAACACAGAATTTAGGGGAAAATAAAATGCATTTCATGGGGCCCTAAATTAAAACAGCTCCTCTGTGGAATTTAATTGTGAACAAAGCTATGTTTACCTTCATTCTCAAAGTCTAACAAACATGTGGAAAGCATTTCCTTCCCCATTAATGGTAAATGAATAGCATGATAAAAATCAATATTGTATGATATGGAAAAAAAAATTGTGTTAGCCTATTAATTGTGAACAAAGCTATGTTTACCTTCATTCTCAAAGTCTAACAAACATGTGGAAAGCATTTCCTTCCCCATTAATGGTAAATGAATAGCATGATAAAAATCAATATTGTATGATATGGAAAAAAAAATTGTGTTAGCCTATTTTTATACATTTTCTGGAATATTTTCCTGGATTGTTAAAAAAAATTTAAAAATGCTTGTGAGAAATCATTAATGTTTATTAGTGGCAAGATATCAAGATATTTTTTTTTAAATGTGTGTGTACAGTATATATATATATATATGTATATATATAGGAGTATATCAAACAAGTAGCTCTTGAGACTATTTTATCCCTTCAGGGAGCCCTCACTCACAAAAAGGTTGGTGATCCCTGATCTAGAGGAAGCATCATATATTAAGAGACTTTCTATGATGTGTACTTTTTTAAACAAAATTAATGTATGTTAGATATTTTGTTGTTGATCAAACATATTTAATAGTTCTCCCTGTAGAAACATGGGATTTGTGTCTATAATACTTACAAATAGTTACAATTTCAGAGAGACTTAATTTATAAAAATGCATCAAAAATATATATTATGTTTACACCAGGGTTAATTTTCATCTCCTTTCACATTTCTCTGTTTTTATGACTAACTGAAAATAAACCATTTTTACTTTTATTTCAGAGTTGGTTCATTTTTTAACAAGTTAATGAAAATGTACTGTTTTTACTTTTGTTTCAGAGTTGATTGAAGATAATGAGGAGAAAGAGGAATTGAGTGAAGTTGAAGAGAAAAATCATGTCAGAAGTGCAGAAAACCCCAAACAGAAAGATTTAAAGAAAAGAAGAGCCAAGAAATCTTTCACCTGCACTCAGTGTGGAAAGAGTTTGACAAGCAAACATGGTCTGGATGTTCACATGAGAGTTCATACTGGAGAGAAACCGTTCACTTGTGATCAGTGCGGGAAGAGTTTCTCACAATCATCAAGCCTTAAGGATCATATGAACAACCACACTGGAGAGAAACTGTACTCATGTGATCAGTGCGGCAAAACATTTTTGAGGGCTTCAGAACTGAAGCAGCACCTGAGAGTTCATACAAAGGAGAAGCTATATTCATGTTATTTGTGTGGAAAGAGTTTTTCACGTTTTTCAACTTGGAAAGAACATCAGAAAATACATACTGGTGTGAGAGAGTACATGTGCTTTGAGTGTGAAAATACTTTTACTTCAGCGAGCCGTTTAAAACGGCATGAGAGGATTCACACTGGAGAAAAACCTTACAAGTGTTCACACTGTGACAAGAGATTCAGTCGTTCAGGAACTCTGAAAACACATGAAAGGATCCACACTGGAGAGAAACCGTATCACTGCACTGCATGTGGAAAGTGTTTCAAACATTCATCTTCTCTACACAGTCATACAAAAAACCTTCACAGTAAGTAGATCATCTACAGATCCAGCACTTTCAGATCTG